TCCAGGGATGCTGGCACTGTTGGTGTTTCGCTCAGGGCTGTGAAACAGAGCATGGCCTTTCTTGACTGCTTGTCAACCACAGCAGGGCCCAGCTGCCTACTGCCCTCCTAAGGGAGGGCTGAGGGTGAGGAGAGGCTGTTGATGTCAAGCTCATGTAAGCAAAGGTATGGAAATCCTGTCTAGAATAAAGGAATAGGGAAAAATACAGGGTCAGAGGGCAGCAGAAAAAGGCAGGATGCCAGTTCTGAACTCTGACAATGGAATTTAGACCCTACATGTCTATAGTTGTAGATAGCCTGTTGGGCTTGTGGCTATCACCAGGCTGTCAGTCTTTTGTCATCCCTGCTGCATAGATAATTCATACTATGGTTTGTTCTGAAACAAATCAGAAAAATCCCTTGGTGGGGAAGCCTAGATGCCAACTAGATTATTCCTGCTCAGGAATAATTCATGCTGCACTACAGTCTGTACAGCAGTACAGATCTGTGCCAGATCTGCTTTGATCAGCTAAACATTGCCTAGTAGATCATACATAACCTTCCAGACCTGTTAGAAGAAGCACATATGTTGGAAGGACCCACCCAGATGCAAGGAGACCTCTTGCACCGGTATGCCCCAGTATGCTCCCATAAAGTGTAGTATGAACGTCAAGTCCTAATGAAAATGTTGCAAGAAATGAAAAGGCCTGTCAGGTTGGAACAGAACAGCTGTGAGATGTTATGCACACCTTGCATCTATGACTGCAGAGCACCATGTAGATGTAACCTGAGAGACGATGTGTTTTCTCTGTCTGACATCTACTATAACCGTTTTGCTAAATTTTTACAATTTAAGAATAAGTAAGGAAAGTTGCCATGAGCAGGCAACCACAGGCTGATCCCTATACTTGATCTTCCATAAAAGTGAGCTAAGAATGACCTTAGGTTTCACAGTCAACTTCTTGACTGGAGTCTTCTTGAGAATGATCTGACCATATACACTAATCTCTTGCAATTTTTTTCAATTCCACTTTCTGAAGAGAGGTAGGCAGTGCCACTTTAATCGTGGAAGGGGTTTTGGTGAGCCAACACAGTGGGCATAGTTTAATGGCCTGGTAAAGAGGTGCAAAAATTAAAAGATCACTTTACTTTTAAGAAAATAATGTTACTCATTGAATGTCAGCATCAATAGGATAGGCTTAATCTGGACTTGCTTTTTACTGTTTTCTTCCAGCTGTCGGTGTGAAATTGCATTGACTAGTGGGAGCATAGAGAGTAGGGAAATAGATTATATTCAAAGAGATCTGCCCAGTTAAGGAAGCTTGTAGATGTACAGAATATTCTGGTGTCCTATTACATTCATCCTATTAACCAAAACTGATTGACTTATCTGCTCTGACAGTGAGAGGTGTGCTTGACTCTAAGGTTGCTTTTATTTCATCCATAACTTGTAGCAAAACCTGAAAAACGCAGTAGCATATTTCCTGGGAGTGGGCTTGTTTAGTTGGTTTGGGTTTTTTTGTTTCATTTAGTTGGTGTTTGTTGGGTTGCTTGTTTGTTTGGTGGTGGTGGTGTTTTTTTTTTCAATTTTGGATGTTTACAGCCTTTGGGAAAGGATATTTTCATTTGGGCTGACATGAACACATTTCCAGGATGGTGGAGGAGAGTTTCAGTAGTTAAGTGTTTGTTTGTTATGTAATAGATCTGGAAATAAGTGATCACAGGCTCAAGTTGGAAGTATCACTCATTAGTTGCTTGGTGGATATGTTTCCACACGTTTCAGAGTAGGTGCTTATGATAGCACTTCTTTAGCCTGTCTAAACAGAGAAGGTCTTGCAATTTTCAGCATAGAAGTTGAGATCATAGGTGCAAGTTTGGATAGTTTGGTGGGAAAATGGAAAACAACTGGGAATGATACCTGGAAGAGGCAAAGATGTTACATTGTGAACTCTGTAAGGTGTAGTTTTGAGTGCAGTTAGCAAAAAGTTAGTTTTCAGCATTACTCATGTTTTCATTGATATCAATACCACTTAATTTACAGGAAACAATAATTCTGTTATTCCCCATAAGGAAAAAATAACATCTAAATAAGAAATGCCTGTATAATAATGAGTGGAATATTAACTTGTTTAGTTTTCCTTTTCCTGCTTGTTATGCTGGTTCTGATACATGTGTATCATAATACATGTAGATATGCATCATAATAAATTGCAACATCAGTATTACTATTTTTAAAGACTTTTTCTTAATATAACAGTCAAACTTACTTCAGAATTTATTTCAGATAATGAAGGATATTAAGTGTGTTTTATTCTGCCTTATTTCATATCAGATTTTTAATTTTCTTCTTATCCTTCAAATACATTGCCCCTGAATTTAGTGAGAGAAACTAGGAGCTTAGCATGCTGGTTGCAGTCCATTTAGTACCTTCATTGTTAGTCTACGCTGCTTAAGCTAAGTCTCTCCTAGGTTGTAACCTGATAGGAACAAATGAGAGAGAAAACAATACTAGCATGTCACTATCTTTTGCTTGAGATTGTATGAGAAAAAGCACCATTAACAGATGGAGCTTATGGGAAATGAAAGGCTTGCAGAGGAATGGGGAAAAGTTCAGCCTGTATGTAATGGGCAGTTTGACTTGCTAAATGATTGATTGTGCAGCACTGAAGGAAGAGGCTGTGAACGTGCCGGTCCACGTCCAGCACTACTTTTGAAAAGTTATGTATGTTATTCTTATTACAACCTTTGTTGACCCAGAAGTTGGCAGAGCAAGAGAGATACATGCTGGTTGAGAGCTGTGCAGCAATTTTCAAATAGATTCTTGGTCTAATAGTAGCTTTCAGTCAACCTCTTTTTATTTTTTTTTCTTCTGAAATGAGGGGTTCAAGTATGGACTTGTGTGCGAGTGTTTAAAAACAATTCCTCTCTGCTTTTTTAAACAACAAAACTATCTATCTGAAGCTTGTATGTCAGATTTGACTGCGAAAAATACAGGGATTCCACCTCTTTTTGGCTAACAAGTGTAATTTTCTTTAGTAGTATTTAAATGTTTTGCAAAAATGTAGCAGGTTTGATGTGCAGTTTTTACTACAGGGTGTGCTGATTGATCAAAAGAAAAAAAAATATTCACCATGGGTGTAGAAAAACAATGATCTCTGCAGTCTTCTAATGCATCAGTTTAGTCATGTTCTTGGACTTACACTGACCATAACAAATCTTTTCACATCAGTGAGGGCCAGGATGCAGTATGAGCTGCAAGCTTAAGTGGAACTACAAGAAGAATACCTGCTTGGTATTTTTTTTCCCACTGTTGTTCTCCCCTCTCATCACTGCTGCTTCTAGAGTAGGAAGAGGTACATTTTTGCTTTGTCATCCTCAGATTTCATGTACTCATGTTTTGAGTGATTAATGCATAGGTACATCCGCTGAAGGTACCTTCTGGATTGAGGCACGTTTATAAGGAAACACCAGCTTTGGGTTTATATGTTATTTGAGTTTCAAAGACAGTTTTGCTTTTGTTTTTTGGTTTCCCAGATCATCCAGATTTGTGTAGGTTTTGCTGTGAGCACTTTGAAGCACCTTTCCAGTCCTGTCTGCTTCAACAATCCAAGGAGTAAAATCATCTGGTTGGTGCTTTGAACTCCAGGGGATGAGAGGGGATCTGACACAAGATGTGTGTCTTGTATCAGGGCATGAAATCACACCTCTTCTGAAGACAATCAGCAAGCCATTACTAAAACTAAAGCAAGAATAAATAATGATACATTCTTCCCCTTAGCCTCCCCTTTCCCATCTTGGACTGGTTGCCATTTCAGCGACAAAAAGTCCATTAAAGAGACAGCAGTTCTGTTAGGGCAGTGAAGGAGGTCCTGCCAGCTCCACTGGTAGCTGTTCGTAGGTGGTTGCTTCTGCAGCCTCCCTGCAAAAGGATCAGGTTGGCAGCACCTGCTGCATTAACCTCAGTACTTGGAACATCATCTGAAGCGGTTTTGTCAGCACCTGTCCTGTTCATCAGCTGCTGAGGCTCGCATATCTTCAGTCTCCTCAGGCTCCTTCTTTAATAGAAGCGAGCTCGATGGAAGAATCATCTTTTTTCTTCTATCAGTTCTTTAAAAAGAGATACATTCTGCTTTGGACATGAAGATACAACTGCCTTTGCTAAGGCTTGTGAAGGAAAATCTGCAAATTATGCCTGTGATGTATTCTGGGGTGTGCTGAATCTGTCTGGGAGGTAGTACCAGAGATTGCTTGTGTGCTTTGGTAAGCTCACTGAGATTCCCTGTACAGAAATTCCTATTTGAAGGAGTTGTCAATAAGAAAAGAACAATAGCATAGCTGCTCACTAAAACCAGCCAACAGTTTGTTCAGTCAGTTGCCTTTTCCTTCCTTGCACAAGAATTTAATTACTGTTGACTATTTAGATATAAAGAGTCACATTTTCTTAAGTATGCATGTAATTTTTCAGTACTAACATTCTGATACTTCAGTAGAGAAATGCTTTCCGATTAATTTCTATTTTATGTGCAGTGGAAATAGAGAAGGCTTTAATTAACGACACTGTAGCTTTGTATTTCTTAAATGTAGTTGCACCATGAACTCTTCCACAGGTGTCTTAGAGTAGTCCAGCTCTTTATCCATTAAAATACTCTACAAAATAACTGCACAGTGAATTGCAGTCCCCTGTCTTCTGTGACAGAAATGTATTTGGCCAAGAGTTTTTCTTCCATGGTGAAGGAGACAGCTGTCATTGCTGGCCTTTTCAGTTTTGCAAGTGAGTAAGTCTGGTAGGTTAAAGCGAAGGCATTAGAAATGCATGGGTGGAATTGGCAGCTACCTCTAGCAGGAAGTTTTTAAATCTTCTGTGTGCTAGAATAGCAGGAACTAAAATACCTTACTCTCTAAACTGTCAGCGCTGTCCCTATGTCCAGAATATATAGCTTTGTTCTTCAGGTATTTCCTTCAACTGAGTGCTTTCCATGTCCAAAATGATTTTTACGAAGCTTTCTCCTATTGCTGTTTCAGACTACGCTTGCACATATCATAGCCAACAGCAGCAAAAAGAACGGCACGAGGTTTGTGACACTGTCAGCCACGAGTGCCAAGACAAATGATGTTCGAGATGTCATCAGCCAAGCCCAGAATGAAAAAAGACTTTTTAAGAGAAAAACCATCCTCTTTATTGACGAGATCCATCGTTTCAATAAATCTCAGCAGGTATTACACTGTGCTGCTTTTTGGAAAAAAACTTTGTCAGCACTTCTGTAAGATTTCCCACTTTGCCTCAAGATCATAGCTTACTTAAGGCTTCTCATTTTAATGTTATTGCTTTTAGTAGACTAATTAGGGAGAAATTAAAAATTTAATTTCATAACTGACTTCCAATCAATGTTCAATTATTTGGATTCAGAGATTTAAAAAAAAGGCTGAGCTGTACGTATAGTTGACTTATGTGCTGGGCTTTATATGACATTTTTCTGATGTTTTATTTCTGCAAAGTCATCTGAGAAACATCTGTTGTACATATCTTCATTTCAGCCTCCTCCCTGGGGGTAGCATTCTGTGTTACCTTTAAAAAGGTCTGGAATGTGGATGTGCCTAGGGTTTTGTTTTAATCATTGAATCATAGAAACACAGGGGTCGGAAGGAACCTCTGAAGATCATTGAGTCCAACCCCTCTGTGCCATAAAAAAACCTCCAAGACCAAAGAGTTCTGTACTTTGGATTACAGTTCCTATATCAAGCCCTACTCCAGTCTTACTCTAGTTTTCACAGCCACCCTATAGAAATAGGTAGGGAATTGTAGCCCTAAAGATTTGTTCAAAGTATTTATAAGTAGCCTCACCATTTGTTATATTTCATAAGGCAATTTCATTATATGTTATGTTTGCCAGGCAAGAAACAGAAGTCACATAGATAAACTAAAAATTTGCAAATTTTTGTCACTGTTTCTTTTCAGCTGGTAGGGTCATTCTCAGTGCAGGCACGAGGTATTAAGGTGAACAGCCCATAATATGCAGTGTGCGTGAAATTAACTCATTTAGGTAGCTGAGCAGATCTTGTCACTGCCTTGTCAGTCAGGTTATTTGTCATACCAGCTGGGAACCTAAAGACTCACAAGACACAAAAAACATAGCCTACTCACATGGAATGTTTCAGGTTGTCATTGATTGAGATCAGCTTTTTCTGCTTCCCTCCCATCCTCAGGACACTTTCCTTCCTCACGTCGAGTGTGGGACGGTGACCCTGATAGGAGCAACTACAGAAAACCCTTCCTTCCAAGTCAACGCCGCTCTTCTGAGCCGATGCCGGGTGATCGTCCTGGAGAAGCTCTCAGTTGAGGCAATGGAAGCAATTCTGATGCGGGCCGTCAGGTCCTTAGGAGTCCAGATTTTGAGCCAGGGCAGCAAGGACGGCAGCTCTGCAACTGGCAGCGGCAGCGAGAGCTCAGAGTGAGTACTTTATGGGCTGCAGGGTGTTAACACACACAGCCTGAGGAATTGACTGCTTGCCAAGGAGAGGATGAAGCAGTTGGGGGGTGGGAAGAGAAACCCTAGCCACTCCTGATAGTAAAGAAAAGAAGTGGCAGCATATGGCAGGGTCAGGGAGTGACAGGAGAGAGAGAATTCAAAGCACTGTCTCTCTGCATCCAAAACATAATCTTACTGTCTGGATTAGGAGAGAGTTTTATACTTGGATCTGCAGTTCCTGAGTCACCCTCCCAGGATATTTAAATCTGTTTTGCTGCTGAGGATTTGCTGTGGAAGCCTGTAACTGTGTCCTGATCATGTCCTAATGCGTGTTACTTCTTGCTACTGGTTGTAAAAGCATCATGTTACCATTAAGTGGTCGATGGGGCATCCCATCTGAAATTTATGTGGAAGTGCCAGACAAAAGACTTTTTGTTTTCTGAGAATTTTTTTTAATAAGATCAGAGAGGATAGTACTGTCCTTTAGTTTCAAGATAAGTGCTGTGGTATGTTTTATGGTGTGCTGTGGGAAGAGGGGGCTGTTGCTGTACCATGTTAATAGGTTGTTTGAAGATAGACTTTGGTTTTCTTTCCTTCTTGTTGTCCAAGCCAAACAGAGGCCTGTTAAACATTTAGGAGAGTCTTGGAAAAAATGAGGTCCAGATTTCTCTATACGGGATGTTATCTGCTTTCTGAAATGACTAGTTGGCAAATAAGAATAACCCTTGATACTGCACTGCTTTCATGAAAGTTATTACACTTCCTTCCTGTTGTTGCCTGTCTGTAGTTCTAGCAATTCACAGTGTATTGACATGGTGGTAATTGGGCAGGCACTCTGTATGAAATAAACGAGAGGAAATTCACTTTGTCCTTTACTTTTATTGCAGAATGTAAGCACCAAGAATCACTAATGTGAGTGCTGAGGTTAGGGCAGGGAAGGAAAGCTATTCCCTTTTTATTTTTAGGATACCCTGCCTCATGCTTTGCTCATTTGTAGCTTTTACATAGTGTAGCAATGTGAATTGTAGAAGAGAAGGCAGTACTGCATGTCAGCCTTAATGTAATGTCACAGCTGTGGTTGTGGCTACACCCTTACTGGGGGTTCAGAGTGTTTCCTTTCTGTACAGGATTAAAGTACAAGGCATAGTTTCAGCTGCAGTTGTTTGGGTTTGGGTTTCGCTAGACCTTCTGTTAGCTATGGATGATTTAAACAGAACTGTGTGGTGCTTCATCAAACCGAAGGAAGTTTGGCAGGCAGACTGTCAGACTAGCACAGTTTCAGAAATCTATCCGTGGAGAGAGAGGGCCCCAGTCCAATGGCTAATGTGGGAGGCAAGCATTTGGAAATAAAACTGGGGTTCAGAATTCAGGAGCGTTTGTTGCAGTTGTGTGTTAAGTCTTTTTTGTCTTTCCTACAACTGTCTGATTCTGGTCTGTGATTGATATATGCTGTAGCTGCTGAGTTTGGCTTTTTATAAGTCATCCTGTCCGTTACTGTGGTTCTGATTTTGGTCTCTTTGCTAATTCCCTTCTTCTTGCTTCACTGTCCATACCACTTCTGCTCCGTCATTTC